TTCGTGTTGTTGAACTCCATGTACTGCATTGAATCACCCATCTGTGGTCTCGTGACAGAAATAGTTGTAAAGGCTACGGAAGAAGCAACCTAGTGAAAAAACCATAGCACTCATCAAATATCTTGATCATCACGCTATTGATAGACCCAAATACCTCCGGGATAGCTTCCTTGACCATCGTAGCCACCTCTATGGAAACGATCCTACGGATCTCATCACCACTGGTACCCTACCTCTGAAGACTACTAGACTCTGAATCGCAGGTAAGCACCATATTGAAATACACAAAGAAAAAGGTCAAAACCAGACTAAAAGCACACATAGATACTAAACATTCCCCAAATATCTCCTCGGTACCCCCTCGAGAATGTTTCTAAATCGTATATAGATCTTGTGCTTTCAGTAGTACGGGACCATACAACCTTCCACGCCTATCTATAGTTGACTTATATTTCCTCTCCATATCCCAAGTCACCTAAAAACACTCCTCCTAAAGAAGCAACACATTTACACCTATGTACTTAAGAAGCCACCTCTAAATATATAGTTATGCATCAAGGTTCCTGCTCAACCACAACTCCGCTCTGCAAGAAGTCTCTGCTAATCTAGATAATAGCTTCGCGTATACAGTTGCACATAACTTGGACTCGATAGAAATTCAAATGAAAGATTCCAACCTAAATCCACAACCAGACAAGGAACATAAAAGTAAGGTTAAATCAAGCGTTCTTAGGATATAAAACCCTAGATATGTACAACCATAAAGTATAAACAAAACAATTAGCAATCCTAGTTTTAACCCTAGCAAGGCATTCATAATAATATCATAGACTATAAGGCATCAAAAAATAAGCAACCATATCCTAGAATTCCTAAGGGATCCTTAACCTATCAACTAGCATGCATTTCCATCAGCTCAAATAACATCAATTCTAATAAATCATACGATACACATATGAATATTTAGGGAGATCACTTATTCAATCTCTGGATGACTTTACATATCGCGTCCTCTGTTCTTTTCTTAAAATTCAATCTTTTCGCAAAAAGGTTTTTATACAACTCTCAAATCCCTAGTTTGAGTATGCAATCCCATCAATGTTCATCCAAATCCCTCAAACTAGGGCTTTGATACCAACTTGTAACATCCCAATTTGCACCACAAAATTTCCTTTTTAATATAGAGAAAACATCATGTATTATAAAACCAAGTCGTAAAATCCCAGGTGAATCAAGTACAATTAGTATCAAAAATGCGGAAAATCATAAATTTGCAAGCTGGAGTGCACAGTCAAGCCTTCGCCTTTTCACGATCAACTAAAGTACCTAAAACATATTTAATCCATGACTTGTAAGCATGAAGCTTAGTGAGTTTTCCAAAATATTGCATACAACTCAACATAATATACAACTATGGGTTATCAGCAACCTTATAGATTAACACCATATTTCATGGGTTATCAACAACTCTGGGGACTATCAGCAGTCCCATGGACTCACATCAATCAACATGTAAGACTCAACTTGTCAGCATGCATACACTACTACATAGGTAAATATATTGAAAAGACGCACATTACGGATAACAGCTAGACACAATAGCTCACACACAGAGTAGACATGTACAACAAGTCACCTAACAACAATAAAGAGACACCATATCATTCTATTCTCTAAAACCTAAACTGACCAAAAGTCAACCACTGTGAAAAGTTAGCGATCAACCCTCAGTCAACATCCGCCCAACGTACATGTTGCTCTACACTTAGCATAGAGCTCTAGATGGAGACGAGCCAAGACTACACTACGCTCAGCATAGAGGAATCTATGCACAACATAGTAGTCTAATTGTCAAAAATCCCATTAAGCTCTTAAAACAGAAAATCAGCTCCTCAAACTTCCATATATAAACCAAACGAACGTCCTAATGGATAAAGTCTCTGACTTTATCCATTTGCAATCAAACCCTAAGTCCATGCAGTACACTAATGCTCAAGATAACATGCATGGGATAGATGAGAGTGACCAACCTCTCATTTTTATGATTCAATAACCCCAAGAACATCAGAAAATGGTCTTCAAATGGTCTGGTGTAACTTATACTTACAAATACCAAAGTTATGGAACAACAAGCATATAAATCCATGACCAACTAGATATAGCATGAAATAATACGAAAATGGGAAGTTTATACCTTCTGGGGGGTGGACAACAAGGTAAAGGATCTGGATCTACAAAGTTTAGAGCTCCTAAATTCTTTTCCAATTATCTTCTCCTTCAAGAATGCATACAAAAACACTATAAGGCCTCAAATCTATGATAAGGTGGCTGGGGTTTCGAAAGGACTAGATAAGAGGATGAAGTTTGGGAATTAAGAGGCCCTCAAGGAGCTTGAGCATTTAAATAGGCTCATAACCTCAAGAATTAGGGTTTTGGTATTGTGCTTCTATGCCCAACATAATCCATCCTACACTCAGCGTGTATTATTAATTCCACACATGAAATCTTCTTCCTACGCTCAGCGTGGAGGGCTATCCTATGCCTAGCGTAGGACACAAAAATGAAATAAAAGACCAATTTATCCTTATAAAATCATACCTGCGGTTACGGGTGTTACAGCGTGCATAGAGAGAACATCAATATCTAACTTCGTATGACGAAGTTATTATTTTTCAAAGTTTCAGCGCAGCAGTGGGCGACTCAAAAACCGAAATAGAAATCGGTTGATTGTTATCCAAAGCAATCTAAAAGAGAGTTGAAGATCTTGTATATATAATTTTTTGAATTTAAAGACAATCGAGAATGGATGTCGTATAGAAGAGTTATGAATTTTATAAGAACATTAACAGTCAAAGCCTATAAAAATCTAACTTTGAAAATAAAGTAAGAAATTAGCCAACAGAGTCTAAATGTAAATTTTAGATCTCATTGATTGCTACGCGTGAATATAAAGAACATTGAAAACGAAGCTTGTAGGAAGAAGTTACAAAATTTTCAAAATCTGCATTTTGTGAAGCATGCAACGCTTCTAGAAGGTGGGATTGTCGTGGGTGGAGCGTGCGGTACGTATAAAAGGCGCACGACAAACATGGTAAAAAACCTTCAATAAATAGAGGCTTGCACCTCATTCAACCCACACACCATTCAGAACATTTATCTCTAAAAAACTTCTTCCTTAAGTCCAAAATCTCTTTAGTATTTAGTAGTTTTAACAGATCTTTGAGTCGTCGGAGATTCCAACAAATAGAAGTGTTCGGGTCAGAGTTCTGCTAATACAATCTCCCAGTTTTTGCTAGAAAATCTCTTGTAAGTTAAGCTACACTCATATCATTTTTAGTGTAACATATATTTATATTCATAGTCATTGTTATGAATTTATAAATAAGATTTTTCAGTGATTCCAAGTCATATTACTGATTGATGTACTTACGAGAGTGATGTCTAGGTTGGATTTAGTGAGGTGTTTAAAGTGGGATTTGTAAACAGTATACTTTGTATACCAAACGGACCATACCTTCGATATAATCTAACCTAGTTATTCCTTACTTGATAGATCTTGATGTAGATAGTGGGATTGTTGGGGAATCTATACTGTCAATATTCATGAGGAATATCATACTAAGGCTTAGTAATAATTATACCTAGCTCACACCAAGGGAAAATCTAAGTGATAAGGAGAAACGCTTCCTAGATTTCGAGGCATCCATTTTTAGCAAGTGAGTGCATAGTTACTTTCAACTTACACAAAGATATAAAGTATCTATTAATTGCTATATGTGCTTACTATCTATATCCTTGATATATATGCTATGTGCAATAATATGATATGATTTTATTTATATAAATAATTGTTTTAACATTATTTCACGTGTGAGATATTGCACATGTGAAGAGATAAACTCTGAAAACCTTTAGCTACAATCAAATAACTCGTCATTTGTGCCCCTAGAAGAGGTCACAAGAGTGTGCTCTGATGGTCTAGTTTGTTCATAGAGAAGAGAGTATGTGTATTTGGAGAGAAGGGTCTCAAGAGTTTTCTTGAAATGAAGACGTTCCTTCTCTTATATAGTAAGGGTTCCATATATGTTGGGGGACCATTGTAATGGTATCTGGAGTACCGAGCTTTGATTGGTCCATCTTTCCTTGTCTTACTCTTCTCTTATTCTGATTGGTGTAGAGGGAATAATTATGAATGACCTGTGCATGGTTATGATGACATCTCCCTTTGTATGGTAATCGAAAGTTATGTGTGGGGAACAAGAAGTTCATGTCTAGACAGCCATGGCTTGCTACCAAGACTGTGCATTCTTGATGTCTGGCTAGTAAGGATCCCATCCTGATATATCCTTTACCCGACCCGTACAACTAGTTGGGCTAAGCGATTCAACTATTCTTTTCTATTTTCTTGGCGGACCAACAATTGTCTTGTTGAACTACCTGATGCCTTGCTAGTCATGCCATGACGAACCAACATGGGGTACATCATTAAACCCCTAGTCTAGTAATGATGGTGTAGCGCATTCAACCATTATGTTTTGGACTTGATGTCACACGTGTCACCTAATTAACCGTCGAGTAGTTATAACTTCTGCAGATATGTTTGCTTTTCCAGGGATCTTGATTGCCTCTTGATCTTCTCCATAAATACTTGGTTTTTTTCATCTTTCATCTCTTTCTATGTAGTCAATATTCCTCCATCTTCTTTGTACTATATTTTCTCAAGATATCCCTCCTTATTAACTTGATTTTCTACTTCTGGTGTGGTGCCAACTCCAAAATATGTTGAATTTCTTCACAAAAAATATGGCTTTCAACTGGAGGATGGAGTGCTAATTCCTTTGGATGCAGCTTTGTTTCTAGACCCACCTTCGGGGAAGGTCAACTTTTTTGTCAAGACCTTTGATATTGGTTACCGGCTTCACACCACCAACTTCCTGGATGATGTGTTGCATAAAAATTGAGCCAACATATATAAGCTTACTAATAACATTGTGACGAAGATGGTTGCCTTTGAGATGCTTTGTCGGTCTCAAGGTTTTCTTCCCAGTATCTGGGTACTCAAGAATTTCTTCTGTTTCTCTACTGTGGGTGACAAGTTAACCTTTTATTCCCACAAGAACACCCATGTCCTTGTTCCTAATGGAAAAAAGTAGTCTGAAAACTGGTAGAGTCACTGGTTTTGGGTGAACGACTCTCGATTCGACGGTCCCTAATTTTGTTGATCGGTGTTATGTCCTGCAGGTTAAGGAAAAGAAATCAAGAGGTTCGTACTGGTCTTAAAACTCACCATGATCAGTTCAATTCATCCATCTCCTAGAAAATATCTAAGCTTCAAGATGATCTAGATGTGGAGAGAAAAATAAAGGATCCTCTTGCCGTCAAGACTGAAAAGGTGAAAGTCTTGATAGTCAAACTCGAGAATGCCGAGAAACAAGTCAATCACTTGTTATCTGGAAAAGAAGTTATGAAAAGTTGTATCGAAGATGTTACTGGCATGCTGTCAGATATCATTGAGACTCGAGACTCAATGATTACGATCACGGTGAAGAAGCATCTTGCTAAGAAACTAAGTCCCGTCTTCCCCATGCTTCATCGATTGGAAGGTGTTCCGGAATATAGCTCCATTCTGAAATAAGGGGGAGAAGATGTGTCATAATCTAAGAAGGAAGACCCCAAACCTTCAGCCAAGCACACTGTCAAAAGTAAATCTGAGCTTGAAGGCAAAGAAAAAAATTTCAGTGAAGAACCTATAGTTAACAACAGCGAAGACGAAGATCCTGATGAAAACGAGCTCAAAATAAGAAAAAAAATGTGAAGCTCAAATGGTTGAGCATCAAAGAATTATCCGTGAGGCTGAAGTGAAAGAGAAAGCAAAACGCGAAGCTCAGGTCACATGGGAAAGCCAAAAGAATTTATTTCCAGAGTGGACTCTGAAGTGAATTCAGAACGAAGCTGTGGATTTGCTGATTCAATATTGGCCGGAAACAGTTGTGTCATTCGAGCTTCAGAATACACAAGATTCGCAGTTGGACCTGCCAATAACTTCGAAAGCCTTCAAGTTTCGCTCTTTTGTGAAAGTAGCGAATGTCCCATCCACTGATAGCGGCGCTAATCATTTGCTATTCTCGTTTCATCTCAACCACATGAAGCCACAATACGAAAAGTGGAGGGCTATCAAGACTATTGCAGTGAAGGTCATAGGTCCAATTCAAACCGACAGCTACCCAAACGCGAAGTTCAAGGTTGTGAGAAGTTCTGCTAGTCAGGTTCACGAATTCACTCTCGCAGACTTGACTAGCCTCAATCCCTATGACTGGATCATGGTTTACAATTTGCTGCTGAGAGACAGACAGAAGTATGAGCCCGTTATTGCACACCTCAAACTGATGATAGTTTCGTATGTTCAAGAGGTAGGCAAAATGGATGTGGAAATAGTTGTTGTACTACGAAGGAAGCCCTATGTTCTCCCTAAAGAAGTTCCAGAAGGTTTTGAGAAGTTGAAACCTGGGAAGATATAAAAAGAAGGATGGTATGTGGTATTTCAAGCGTGAGAATGAAACGATGCACACTTTCACATGGTCTGTTTCTTCCTCCCGATAAACATTTGTACACTACCTCTTTCCTGGAGTATATTTTGGACATGGTCAACAAATCAAGGGCAACAACAAGGGAGAAAAAAAGTGCTTTTCAGATATGATTTAATGATACATCTAGGTTCGAACGGTTCTACTAAGCGTCATTTCGAAAGTTTTTGAAGTGCAGAAGCGAACTCAACCTTGATGGATTCTCCCCTCAATTGACGCAAACATAGAGATTGTTGGGTATATGTGTTGCGTCATAGTAGTTATTTATTTTGTCTATTTTGTAAACGGTCTTGGTCTTTTCCACCTATCATTTATTATTAGGGTTATAGTATTTAAGGTGCATGCATGCACCGTGTTTTGTAACTTTTGAAATAGTCTTGTAACCCTACATGCCTCTACAGTAGCAACTCTTCATCGAGTTCTTATGAGGTTGTGGCTTATACTAATTCAACATATTTTGATCTATTTACCTTGTTCTTATTCTTTACTTGTTTGAATCTATTTGATCTTACTAGGATTCAATCCTATCAGCTATATTATTTGCGAATATGTCCACTACCTTAAGTCTTAATAATTAGTTAGATAGTTGGTAAAACTAGTAGGTATAATATTACGAACATTAAGCATGTGGCCTTGTTGAAGGCTAAGGTTGGGTCTTCTCATTAGCAGTTGGAGTTAATGGATGGTGAAAAGATGCCCCTTTAGGAGCAGTGTGGTAATGTAGAGGCAAAACTTGATGATACCCTATAGAAGAACGAAGACTTGAGTATCCGAGTGGAAATACTGGAAAGAGAGTTGTTGGATAACGAAAAGTTGTTGCTTGACCGCGAAGTGGAAGTCTCCCGGGTTGGAAGCTGTATGGATTAGCTTGTCAAGGAGGGTGTTGTTAGGATCATGGATAAGGTTATTGAGCTTTCCAAATTTCTACAAATTGTTGGTCGGATCAATCATATGTGCTTTGCTTCCAGTGAGGAATCTGGGAGGGAGGCATTTACATAAGGAATTTGTTGTAGGGATGTTTGATGCGCATACTACTAGCTCAACTTCCAGCCATACTAGAGAGATAGTGGATGCCATTGACTCATTACTCACATATGATTATGCCACTTTCATGAAGTTAGTCTCTATGGACATTAATGGCCTTAGTCAACTATGTACGAATGATGAGAAACTTTTCTGTTAGGATTAAATAATCCTTAAAAGACTGTTTAGATTCAAAACATGTAAAACAAGAACACATCGAAGATTCAAAGAATGTCGAATGATTCAGTGTCACGCCTCAGAAGAACTCGATTAAGAATTGCTACTTTAGAGGCGTGATTAAGGTTTAGAGAATAATATCCGAGTTAACAAAAATGTGATGCATGCATGCATCTTCAATACTCAAACCCTAGAAATAAATATGAATGGACAGACCCAACTCGTTTACAAAATAAACTTAACCAAGAAGGCCCACAGATGTAACACTATAATCCCAACAATCTCCCCCTTTGCGTCATTTGAGGCGCAGAAACTTCAATTCTTGATTTGCTTCTAAACTTCAAACACTTTCGCAATTATGTTCAGCAATGCGTTGCGAACTTTGATATACCAACATATCATATCCGAAAAGCATTTCTTATCACCAGCACTGTTGCATCTGAATTTATCTGTCATACTCAAAATATGCTCAAGACAAGAAGTGGAGTACATGTGTTTATCATCAAGGAAGAAGCATGCCTTGTGATAATCATAGTCATTATGTTCTCATGCTTAAAAGACCATATACCATCCATCCTTGTAGATCTTTCCAAGTTTCAGCTTCTCAAGATCTTTAGGACACTCTTTGGGAACTACAGAAGGCTTCTTTATAAGGACTAGAGCAATCTCAACATCCATGGTTCCCACCTCTTGAATATACGAAACGATCATCAGTTTGAGATGACTGACAACAAGTTCGTACTTCTGTTCTTCTCGCATCAAAAGATTGTAGAGCATGATCCAGTCATAAGGATTGATACATGGCAAATCTGCGAGAGTGAATTCATGAAATTGAGTCTCAGAACCTCTGACAACTTTGAATTTAGCATTCAAAAAACTGTCAATTTCGATTGGTCCAGTGACCTTAACTGTCGTTATCTTACTCGCACTCCATGTTTCATATTGAGGCTTCATGTATTTGAGATAAAAGGCGAAGAGAAGATGATCAGCTCCGTTGTCAGAAGAGGCAACATTCACAACCTTGATAAAGGAGCTAAACTTGAAGGCCTTCAGAGTCATTGGAAGATCCAGTTGCGAGTCCTGAGTGTTTGGAAGATCAAAGGACACAACACGGTCTAACCAATATTGGCTAGGAAAATCAACTGCTTCATTTTAAAGATGCTTCAAAGTCCACTTTGGAAACAAAAGTTTTCTTCTTTCAAGTGTAAGTTGAGCTTCTTTTTCTGCCTTCTCCTTCGCTTCAGCTTCTCGTATGATTCTCTGATGTCTATCCATCTCTTCTTCACGAGCCTTTCGCCTTTTAAGTTCTTCTTCTTCTTCTTCATTATCAATGATGGGATCATCAAAGAAAAGTTTGTCTTTACCCTTTAGGCCACTTTTGCTTTTAACAACAGGCACAAGCTTAACAGTAGGTTTTGGCTTCACATCAATTGGATTTACACTATCTCCCCCTTGTTTTGGAATGCCTGAAGATTCCAAAACACCTTCCAAGTGATGAATAATCGCGAATACTGGTCTTAGCTTTTCTCCCAGATGCTTTCGTACATTGATAGGAATCATCAAATCCCTATCCTCAACAAGATCTAAGAGTAAGGCAATGACATCAGTGATACAACTTCTCATGATAGCTTTCTCTAATAATAGATCTTGGACTTGTTTCTCAGACTATTCGAGTTTAAGAGAGAGAGAGAGAGAGAGAGAGAGAGAGTTTTTACTTTCTCGGTCTTGGTAGCGAGGGCATCCATGACCTTGCTTTCCATCGCCAAATCTTCTTGAAGCTTTATGATTTGAGAAGTAATAGAAGATTGAAGCTTGTCATGATCATCTTTAAGACCTTTGCGAATGTCCTGAAATTTAACCCTTTCAGATTTGAGAGAAGCGCTCAAGCTAGAAATCACTTCGTTGGCTGCAGCTGTGTTGGACTTAAAGGATTGCTAAAATTTGTCCATAAAAATCTGAGCATCAAAAATTAGTTTATCGACTTTTTTGGTCGTTTGGTTGCAAACAGTTGTGGATGCATCAACTGTTGTGTTCATCTTTTCAGTATTTGATGAATGTTATTTGGTGAGGCTTTCAAAAAAAGACTTGATAGTATCTTGAGAGTAGTTATCAGATGATGAAGGTTTAGTAGACTAAAGCAAAGAATCATGCTTGTCATGAATAACTTTGAGTTGCCCCTTCGTAACTGGAGCTTCATCATCACTGCCAGTTCTAATGGTGAAAGGACTAAAAGTTAATCATTGCAAGTTATCTTCATTATCCCCATAGATCATATCAGGATCATCAGTGCGAAATGGGGAAATCGATGGAGAAATATGAGTAGAGGTGAAACCTAATACTCCAGCCCCCACATCAGATGCATTGACAGAAACAGCAGGTGTGGTTGAGGTGATTGGTGGGGTTGTGGAATATGTAAAGTGAGGAGTAGATAAAGTAATATTGGTTTGAGGTGTAGAAGATATTGGTGGAGGGGATGGTGTAATGGTAATGGGTGTTGTAGTGGTTTTAGGTGAAGGAGGAGGAGAAGGAATAAAGTCAGTATGTGAGTGAGTTACCTTAGGATTAGAAGTAGACTTTTCAATGCGAGCCGAATCACCCTCCTCGTTGTGAACAGGTGGTTCTTCCTCCTCGATACGAATGTCTGAATAAGTCTTAAACTCTGAACTTTCGCTTTCACTTAGTGTTGGCGACTTTCACTTGTGAGCAGGCTACTTTCACCATTTGGGAGCAGCAGCAGACGTTCTCGTTGGTTCATTTCGCTTTGTAGGTGGTTTCGTTGGGACCGATGGTCCTTCCTTATCCGTAATTTTCTTTTCGCCCTTCTTCGAACCCTTTCCCCCTTTCTTGGGTTTGTCTGCCTCAACGATTATTGCTTGTACTTCTGGGGTTAATGTAAGAAACCCACATGAAGTCAATTTCCTGTATCCCTCCAAGATTTTGCTAGAAGCTAGCACGTCTCGAAACATTGCTTCTGGGATTCAACCAATGAAAGAAAACTTGGAAGTATCAGAGACTATAATCCCAGTGGTGTGAAAAGTAGAGATAGATACCATCAATGCATCTTTCATTACTGGAATGTTGAGCTTTTCAATGAACCGTTGGACAATCAAGGTCCAAAAACATGCACAGGAGATCTCATTGTGACGTATTGTAGAGAGTGTACTTTGAATCACTTGATCCCAAAGAACATAGCCATAATAGATATTTAAACCTATGTAGAGACCATTGAGAATGGCCATGAACATCTTGGTTGCACAGTTTGATCCAGTCACCCTTTCAGAGAAACCCTTAAATAGCAAGGTGAAGATACCATTCCACTTAGGAGGCATATTGGGTTTCCTGAACTTTGAAATGATGATTATGGTTTCTTTGGGAAAATCACTAGGATCTTCGTGCAAGAGTGTTCCAAAGATAAAGAAATAAATCAATATATGTTTGTGCAATTTTGTGATGTCTAAATAAAGATACGAAACTATGGATCCCAGGCAAAGATCTCTTTCTTCAAAGTCAAGAGAGACTAAGAAGTGTCTGTGTGTTTTTCCGTTGAAATACAATCAAATGTTTAATGAGAAACATTGAAAGGCATCTTTTAATTAGGCTTAATGGGTGGTTAAATCTCCAACCAAACAAAGAACTTGATATAAGTATAAATATTAGATGAGTACTCGTGTGACCAGTGTAGTCAGTTGAACGAGTAGGTTTGGAATTATTTTGGTGACTAGATTGAATGTTGAAATCTCAACAAAAAAAGTGGATTTGATGGGAAGAACTCTCTTGGGATAAGAGCACATCATTAAGATCTCACAAAAGAAAAAGATATTTTTTGGTACAAACCACAAAAAATGGCTTTCGTTAATTCCATCGTGGAAATCTTGAACATTTAATTGTTGACCGTCAATTCATGTAAGTGTGTTGGATTTTGGGTTTCACTCAGTTCGTGGTGAACAAAGCTAAGATCATTAACACAGAAGTTGCACAACCATAAACCTAAGTGGTTTAGCTGAGAGTCTCAAGGGTTACATTCCTGAATGCAAAAGTAGTGGAGAAGTGTGAAGGTGGTTCCAAAGAAGTGAATGTGCCTCTACTAAACGAAGGTGACTAAGCAGATAACTCTTAACTCAAAATGAGAAGAGTAAGGTAGCTCGTGACTGATGTGAAATTAACAACCTGATTGGGAAGAAACAATAGGTATGATTGAATCATTAAGGCTTCACATAGAGTCGTTTGAGGCTTTGGTCAACATACAGTAGCATGCTTCTATGGACACTTAGCTAATACATAGATAAAGAGATTTATACTTTCCCCATCACACAAATTGAGATATGATATGAATATGTGCCTCCATGATCTTTTAAGATGTTTTTGGTGTTTTTGAGATTTGTGAAAATAAAATAATAAAATAAAATAAAATAAAAAAATAAAAATTAAAGACAAATAAAATATTTTTGTGTTTTGAGATTATCTGAAAAAGAATTAAAAACAGAAAAGATTGAAAGATAAAACAAAGATAAGAAATAATATACATAAAGTACAAAAGGATATTGGAGAATCTGAACCATGAATGAACAGTAGACTGCGAACTAATTCGCAGTGTAAAAGTAGAGTACATATGAACAGTGGATTACAAACTACTACGAACGTTCGCACCGATTCGTAGTGCAATCATTATGTGTGCGAAAGTGGTTTTGGAATAGATTTAGCTTCCATCATTCCTAGGCCTTGAAGAATTCTATTAAAGGTTGTTTCAGGCCAGGCTTTTGTGAATATATCAGCCAACTGATCAGAGGATCTCACGAGGTGAATTTCAATGTTGCCATCTTCTACGTGGTCCTTGTTGAAATGATACCTCAGTGGTATGTGTTTTTCTTTGAGTGTTGCACTGGGTTGTGACAAATGCGAATGACACTTTCGGAGTCAAAGTACAATGGGATTTGTTTCATGCTTAAGCCATAGTCATTAAGCTGGCTTTGAATTCAAATGACTTGAGATGTACAAGAGGCAGCAACTATATATTCAGCTTCAGCTGTTGGCAAGGATACGCACGTTTGCTTCTTGGACTGCCAATTGAGAAGTTTGCCATCGAGGAATTGGCATCCTCCAGTGGTGATTTTTCTATCTAGTCCACATCCCCCAAGGCCAGCATCTAAAATGCTTGTACGAAGAATCTAGATTCCACAGGATACCATATTCCAAGTGATGAGGTTCGTTTCAAGTATTTGAAGATGTTCTTAACGACCACCATGTGAGGTTCGCGAGGATTTTCTTGCAACCTAGCATAATAACAAACTGAAAACATAATATCTGGTCCACTAGCTGTTAGATACATTAAATATCCTATCGTTTGACGTATCATTAGCTGGTTTTTTCAGAGATGGTGTTAGTTTCGTTCTGAATGCCATTGGAACCTTCGCTTTAGAGTCTCCCACCATGCCAAACTTAGTGAGTAATGTCTTTTTATATGCTTCCTAATTTATTAAAACGACTTTTGGTCCCTTTCTTATATTCAATCCAAGGAAAAGTTAATTGGACCCATGGAGCTCATCTCAAATTTAGTTTCCATCAACTTTCGGAATTCAGCTATTAAGCTGGGATTCGTAGAACCGAATATGATGTCATCAACATAAATTTGGACGATCATCAAGTTTTCACCCTCTTTCTTGTGAAAGAAGGTTGGGTCAAACGAACCATGTTTAAATTTGGACATTTTAAGGAAACGAGTGAGAGTTTCATACCATGCTCTCGGAGCTTGCTTTAGACCATAGACTGTCTTGTCTAAGATGTAGCAGTGATTGGGAAACTTCTCGTTTACGAACCGAGGAGGTTGTTCAACGTATATAGTATATTCTAATTCTCCATTCAAGAAAGCACATATAACTTCAATCTGAAATACCTCGAAGTTCTTGCACACTGCGTATGCCAACAAGATACGAACTGATTCCAACCTTGCAACTGGTGCGAAGGTTTCTTTGTAGTCAATGCCTTCTTCCTGAAAATACCCCTTAACCACAAGTCCCACCTTGTTCCTTATAAAATTCCCTTCTTTATCCATTTTGTTATGAAAACCACACTTTAAACCTACAACTGATGCATCTGGTGGAGTTGGAATTAGCCTCCAAACTTTGTTTCATTCAAACTCGTTAAGTTCTTCTTGCATTGCTTGCACCCAATCAGAATGATGGAGAGCAAGATTAACTGTTTTGGTTTCCACTTTGGAAACAAATGAGTTAAACATACAAAATTCCACTTTAGAGAATAATGCATATTATGATTTCGTACGGAGTAATAAAGAATCGCTTATTCAGTATAGACGTATTTTGGGTGAAACAAGCAGTTGCAATAACATCCGCCCATAAGTATAAAGGCATACATACGAAAGTGAGTATAGTTCATGCAGCTTCACAAAAAACGCAGTTTCGCCTTTCAACTACACTGTTCTGTTGTGGAATGTAAGGAGCAGAAAAGTTGTGTGAGGCTCCCTTTTCAGCCATAAATTCTTCAAACGCTTGGTTTTTGAACTATAGCCCATTGTCGTTGCGAACATTGCAAACCAACTTTCGTAGTTGAAGCTCAATTTACTTGATAAAATCCTTGAGTTTTGGAGTAGCTTCAAATTTCTGTTTAAG